TTTGTTAGAAAATTTTCATATACAATTAGGTACAGGGTAAATGATCTACTATGACTACAAACTCTCCCGCGACCTTTTAGCCATAGGCATGAGCCAATAGTCTTTAACCCTATGGAAATCCCTAACCCTATGGAAAAGGGTCAGTTCCTCTTCAAATTCCCTCTTCAATATTAGGCTTCTTTTCCAACTTATGGATGAATTTCTTGGGATCTTGAAGACCAGTTTTTATGGTGAAATATATTCTCTTTGCCTTTTCATTTTGAAGCTTTTGCTTTATCAGCATGATAAATAATTTGGCCCCTCTGTTTGAATTTAAATAAGTTGTCTGTTATACTTGGGCAGCAAGCTCTTGGTGCTTTCTCTTGTTATCTTTCTATTCCTAGAAACAAAAGCAAAGTTTGTTGACATTATTGGTCACCCAGAATGGAATCTTGTAAAATTCATTGCTTGATTAGGTTGAGCATGTTTCAAGGAGTGCCTGGTCCAGTAAATGGCCCCTTTATTCTTCTGGTCTAAAAATCTGGTGCTATTTGCTATTTCTCAAAAAAAAAAAATCTGTGCCATTTGCATCTTAATGCTGATGAAGGTAAAACATCTCAGTGAACATCTCACAGGAGGTATTATAGTTCGCTGAATAATGATTAAAAGAAATATACAGCCAAAAACTACCATATGCTCCTTAAAAAAGGCCTTCCAAATGAGTTGTGCAAAATATATTGCTCTACTTTGAGATTTTATCGTCATTTTAAAATGATGGCTCTGCGTATTCTCAGATAAAATAAAATAAAAGAATGCCCTGCTTATTTTAGAACTGAAATCCAAATGTTATTGAGGGTTTCCTACATATGATGTTTTTTTGAGATAAACTTATGATGTTTTTGTATATTAACTTTAAGATGTTCTTTTAAATTATTTTGTGATTATGTGTTTTCCAGAGGGACAAAAGTGAGGAGGCGTTGCGGTTGGCACAACTTTCGGCAGAGAAGCCTCATTTTTCCCATTGTCTGGAGTGGCTTCTTTTTACTGTTTTTGATGCAGAAATTTCAAGGTATATCTAATAAAGGATTCAGTGTTATATTAATGTGTTGGATTTAATATTATTGGAGATTACTCTATGCTTTGATACATAAGCAAAGGCTTGTTATGACACTGTTGTGGCACTTGTTAATAGTTGATGAGCTTTGTTCTATTGTTTATTCTTGGAAATGCATTTTGTATACTTCTATATAGCATGTAATTTGATGGCATTTAATAAAGGTAGTGTTCGTTGTGCATGTCTCAGTTGGACTTTGGTTTATCTTTTATATGTGCTATCTTGCCTCTATTTTTCGCTCTTTTTTTTGGGTTGATTTAGTCATTTGTGTTTTCAGCTCTAATCTCTATTAGTTTCCTCCTTGCAGGCAACACGCAAACAAGAACCAGAATTTGGTCGGTGCACATGCTGCTAAGTTCTCTCTTTTGGAGAAGACATGTGATTTGATCAGAAATTTTCCAGAGTATCATGATGTGGTGGTCAGTGTTGCCAGAAAAACTGATGGTCGGCATTGGGCACATTTGTTCTCTGCGGCTGGAAGATCAACAGAGTATTTTCTTTCTTTTTTCGAATTTGTTTTTCTATTTTCATGAAGAGCCACGGCAATGCATATGTTAGCTTATGCAACACATGCCTAGTTATCTAATCCTGGATAAATATTTTTGACAAACGGGGCTTTAGCAAGGTGTTATATTATATATTCTATGATATTGCTAGATGCTATGTATGTGATTATCCATCGTTTGTTTCCATTTGAAGGTTGTTTGAGGATTGCTTTCAACGAAGGTGGTATCGAACTGCAGCTTGCTATATTCTTGTAAGAGTTGGGATCTACCTTCTAAATCATAGTCATTGATTGGCTCTAGGGATTGTTCTGCTTCTTCTGATCTTGTTTTCCCTATATAATTATTGGAAGAATGTTTGTCACTTGAATAACTCACCTATTCAGCTGTACTTGTCTTGGTTGTGCTGTTTTCCACTATTATGGGTGATAAGTGATCTAAATATATTTTTTTTCTATAGTGAGAAGCCATGCTGCAGAATATATTTATATTTTAGAAATTAGGAACCTTCTGTCCTGGTTAAAAATTTGATTGATTTCCTTTAGGTAATTGCTAAACTTGAAGGTCCTGCTGTCAGTCAGTATTGTGCATTACGCTTATTGCAGGTAATCGTTGCACTTTATGTTGCAATTTTTTTTTGATTTCTTTCATTTTCTGTTTGCTTATTTTTGTTTTTATGATGCATTATGATGATTTTTAACTCCATGCAGGCAACACTTGATGAGTCTCTCTATGAACTTGCTGGAGAACTGGTACTGAGATACATGTATTTAAAAAAAAACAAAAAAGATGATATCTGAATTTCATATGGGATTGTGATAAGTCCTTTTATCGCTTTGTTTGTAGGTGAGATTCCTCCTAAGATCAGGAAGAGAATATGATCAAGCATCCGCAGATTCAGATAGATTGTCTCCCAGATTTTTGGGTTATTTTCTTTTTCGTTCTGGTTACAGGAGGCCATCCTTGGATAAAAGGTTTTGCTACATTTCCTTCAATTATCTTGCATGACTTGGACCCTGCGACTTTGCTTATGTATGTTATTCTCATTGAGGATTTATTCTTCTGATCAGTACCTCGTTCAAGGAGCAAAATGCCCATGTATCTTCTGTTAAGAATATATTAGAAAGTCATGCTAGCTATTTAATGTCCGGGAAAGAACTTTCGAAGCTCGTTGCATTTGTAAAGGGTACTCAGTTTGATTTAGTGGTAAGAAGAGCTTGAAAATCTTATGGGAGATGCACACTTTTTCACTAGAGAAATTCTAAGTTATTTCTAAATTATTTATTGCAGGAATATCTTCAACGAGAAAGATATGGTTCTGCTCGCTTGGAGAATTTTGCTTCAGGGCTTGAATTGATTGGAAAGAAGGTACTACTGATTCTTTAGTTTTCTAAATCTGTTTGTATTATTTCAAAGCACTGACCACTTAGTTCGTCTTCTTTTTATGCGTTTATGCAACCCCCAAGGTAGTGCAGTTAATTTCTTTTCTTGAAGATTTGCTTTTAAATTTTTACAATTCTATAATATCAACGTCGTTGGTGCTAATGGTTATAGATTTTATCAGGACTAAGATGAAGTATCCGGAAGCTTATTGCCATTTATGACAAAAATAGACAACTACTGACAGAATAGTTAGTCATATATGTTCATTATAACCTGCACCTAATTTTGTTGTTATATGATTGAAAGATAATTTATGGTTTAAAGTCAGTACATGATATCACCAGAATTAATAGGAAATCTGGGGTCCTAATTATTTATTAGCCTCAAACTTCGTTTACTGACTGAACTCCCTGTTTATGCTACCAGCTTCAGATGAGTACACTGCAGAGTCGATTGGATGCAGAATTCCTCTTAGCTCACATGTGTTCTGTCAAGTTTAAAGAATGGATAGTTGTTCTAGCTACTCTCTTAAGACGATCTGAGGTAGAGTTCATGTCATTTAACGTAAATTCTGGTATTTATGTCTTGTGTGTTCTGTGTTGGCATCAGTGCAATTGCTTTATGTATTTTTACCTTCTGTCCCTTTCCCACCTCCAGGCAATTAGTCAAAATGTTAAGAAATTCAACTTAAGTGACAGAATGGACAATCCAAACCTTCATTTTGGATTAAGAATTATTTTGAAGTTTTTTGATGAACTTTAATAGAAATGGCTTAAAACAACTTTTCGGGAATTTACTTTGCATCCTCTTGAAACACTAAAGCCAGCTTTCATGAAATTCTGGTCCTACTAAAATGATTTTAGCATCTTTCATTAATATACTGATTTCAGAGTAAAACATGAGAATTTTTTTTTGAGATAAAAAGAATGTGTATATAGTACACGGTACCAAGGTGGTGCCATCCATGCACAAAATATTTACATTTCAGTTAGAACGTCTATAATCTTCCCAAAATCATCTCATCCATGAATGTCATGACCAAGTATAAGAGCCTCAAAAACATTATATTCCACCTGTCCCTAATACTGGCCATATTGCTCACACGCCCTCAAATGCTCTATTGTTTCTCTCTTTCCAAATTACCCAAAAAATAATGAGAGGAATAAGTTTAACAATTTTTAAATTTTTACAAATCCACCCCAAGTCCACAATTTATCCCTAAAGCCATTCGCAATCACCTAGTTAATACCCAAAAGAATGGGAATTAGGCAAGTCAGTGAACATCTGACGCTAGACAATGGGGAATGCCAAAGTAGTTTGAAACTTAGGATGTTTAGAATAATTGTAGGCAGTCTGGACACATGGATTTTTTATTATTAATTTTATAGTAATACTAGAGCAATATATTCAATACTCCTTCCCTTATCCGTTGGCCTTATTGTGTTCCTAGTTCCTAATATCAACCAACTGTTACTGGGTTTTATGCAGGTCCTTTTTGATCTTTTTCAGCATGACATGCGATTATGGAAGGCATATAGTGCAACTTTACAGGTACACTTTCTTGAAGATTCTGCTGCATAACATGTACTTTTGGCTGCATATTGTGTATGTATGTCAACCTCACCTTTATCTTCATTATGTTGCCAGTCTCACCCAATGTTTGCTGAATACAATGATTTGCTTGAAGCCTTGGATGAGAGACTTTCTTCTGTTACCATCTTGGAATAGGAAAAAAGTAGATTTTGATCTTTGACCCTTTAATATGAAGACTGGTTGGGCTGATTGAAGTAATCATTCTAAAGGGCGATGTCTCCAATACCAAGTGACAGATTGTGATTTTGGTGGGCAGCCTTTTGGTCGCTTGAGATTGGGACAGCCAAACACTGTTGTGTGGAGAGGAGTGATCCTTGTATCTCTCTGGTGTTTTTGTCGATAAATGGTGAACAAACCAAGTTCCATGAGCTGTCCAATGGAAAGTCGCCAAGAATCATCTGGGAAAGTTATATCCATTTCAGAGAGGCCCTCTTGGCACCCACAACCCTTTTTGTCTTCTGCATCCAATTCTTTTTTTTTTTTTTTCTATATATTTCCGATTTTGTATAATCTTTTGTTTTTAGATGAAAATAAAAAAGAAGTTTGTCTAGATCGAGTTTGCAGAATATAGAGTCCCGCTTTTAACTGCATCATGAGCTTTTGCTGATGCTTTTGGATTTGCACCAACTGGATCCTGTTCTGTCTCAATATATATGTCGGAATTGAGATTAGCCACTTTGTCTTGGACCAGACTGTTCATACTTGTTTTGCAATTCAAATTTCAAAAGCTTCACTTTGTATCATCCGTTAGGAATGTGAAACCAGGGTGTAGTTCCTTGCAGATGTCAGTTAAGGTTGAATGTATGGGTTACAGTGCCAAGATTATGAGAAACTGAAGTGAGAACTTGTTGCGATTTTGAGGAATGGCAGCAAGCGCCTAGAAGAGTAGTGCAGAAGGTATGTCATGACTTCATATACGGTTAATTTTTGAATATTATTGTATTATCTGAGGACGTGAATGATGGTAATTAAAATATAATATTTGGAATTATTATTGCATTAAGAATATTATTTGGAAACTACCATATTGGTGACTTCCTGATATTTCTGTTGATTCAAGTTTCCCATTCTGAACCTGTAGGGAAGTGGAATGAGTACGAACTTTTTACTGTAAATTGCCCTCCAATTTCCAATTACTGTTCATGTAATGTTTTTTAAATATTTTATTATTATTAACTCCTTGTTTGTGATACATCAAGAATTGAAATAATTAATATGTGTATATATATATATATATATTTATATGTACTTTGAGATCCGAAATATGTGGGCTAATTAAGTTTTGCTAGGACCATGTATATATATATATAATGTGAATCCGAAGTATGCGGACTGATTAATTATTGTGTGCGCATACGTAAATATGTCCCTGCAAAACTCACCATTAGCATTACTTATCATCGTCCTAATTAAGCCCGCTTTGATCGTCTCCTTTTTCTGGTTTCTTCACCGCCATTAATGAACTCCCTCTCTCTCTCTCTCTCTCTCTCTCTCTCTCTCTCTCGCTGTTTGAAACTGAGATCAGTGAGAGATATACTTCCTATCTAAACAATGTAGATACATAAAATTAGTGTATTGGGAGGCAGAACGTATAAGGGGAATATGATAAATGAGAATCTTGTATGCAGGGAAGAAGTTGACTTTGATAAATAAGAGGTCCGTAATGAGCTGATCTCTTTCCTTCCGGTTGCAAGACGCCAAGGATAGTGCAACTGTCCATTTTATCTAATGATTCATCACCTTTTTCTTACGTATATTATATATGTGGGTACACATAATATATATATATATATTATGTGTAGGTACACTTTTATTTCAGAAAATTATTTTTGAAGACATGAGGAAAAATTAAGACTTAATTACCAATCAAAAAATTGATTTCCTTAATGACACTTGTCATGATTGTAGGTCTTATAAGTTAATTAATTTATTTACATATAACAATATATTAATTTGGAGAAAATGAAAATGATTAGATTAGCCAAAATTGTAATGAAGGTGTTGGTTAAATAAGTAGGGATGAATATAAATAGACAAAAATTGTAATTCAAGCTTCCATTCTGAACTACCTGTAGGAAACGGAAAGAAGCAGACGGAATGGATACAAATCTCGAAGAAGAAACGATGAGAAAAGCAGAGACGAAAAAGAAAAGTGTCTCCAAGGTTACAGGATATTGTTTTATTTTTATGGACTTACAGATTTACTAGGAGTATGAGCAAAATTACAGACCATATGGAGCCACTTGAAGCAAGCCAAGCTTTTGTTCGCATGGGAAATAACCAAAAGATCACCAGCTGAAGCTGATGGACTCAAAATAAAGATTATCTGCCATCCCAGATGAGCAGATTGTTGCGACCTCGTGCCGCATCTTTTTTGGACCGCAAGCAAGAACTCCAACACTCGATCCTTCACAATCAAATAAGATTCCTGTACCACCAACAAAAAAGGTGATTATTATATCAAACACTATTATATTATCTACGCTTGCTATATAATAAACATGGTAATCAGAGAGCTTAGTTACTCTTTAGATCAGGTCTTTTCCCATAGTGCACACTGATGGCTTCAGCGAGAGATTGGTGAGGAAGGCTTTCTAATTCTCTGTCAGCATTATACCAGGATCCTGGTGAGGTAGTCGGAGTTGGCCCTTCTACGTTTCCTATCTGTTTCGCTTCCATTGCGTTTCGTTTCTTGTTCCATAACACCGCCGCACTAGCGGTTGCCGCTATGGACACGCACATGACCAGTACATACAAAAAAGCCTTCGCAGTATAAGGAAAAACAGTGTTTGTGTTGTGATCAATAGGGTATATGTAATAGCGACCTATGATCCCTATCAAAATGAGGAAAATAACGAACGAAGATGATATGATTAGACCAAGCCAGAGCCAGCTGTTGGGTCCTAAAATTGCAGATATTGGTGCATCGGTTGGGTGTGGCTTGAACCATAAAGTTCGTAAAAGCTTGGAGTTGTCAGAGGTTGGTTGTTTCTCTCTAGTCACATAAGCCTGAATCTCAAGCTGTAAATTGGAAAGCTCATATGGGGTGCCGGTGCCTGGAAGGATGAGATCTAGCATGGTGAGATCTAACGAGTTCTTGAATGAGCAAATCAGGAGAAGTCTTGGCGTTTTCTTTCCCAGTGTTTGGCTTGTGAAGATTAGCTCCCGAATTATAGAGATGAATGGAGTAATGCCACTTCCCCCGCTTACCATCACAAGCATATCATGCCTACCAAAATAATCACTTTTTAACAATAATTCCTTCAAAAAGAAAACACAACACAGTAAATTTGCTGTGTGGTAGAAAGTGCTCACATGAGGAAATGAGAAGAGGTAGGTCCATAAGGACCTTCAATAGAAACTTCAAGACGATCAATCGGAGAAGAAGATGAAAGCATCCGGTAAAGCTTCGTGGACCAGGTTCCTTCACTCTTAATAGCCACACTAAGTTTATCCGCCTCCAAATTACTATTCGATGTAACAGTAAACGGATGCCATTGCAGCTTGGAAATTGCAGGAACATTGAGGAAGACGACGCTGGTAGGGTTGTAACTCAAACCTGTCGTCAATAATAACAAACAATTCGAAAATCAATACACATGAATTCAAACAATGTAGTATAATAGCCAGTAATTAGTGATCATTACCAGGAGATTTAGAAAAATTAAGTTCTAGGGTTTGGCAAGGAAGAAGACGAGCAGAAGTGAAACGAACTCGGCGTCGGGATTGCAGGAATCTGAGGAAACGATCGATGATGAAGAGGTAAAAAGCAGGGAGGGACATGAGAGCATAACTGATGCCGACATGGAAGATGAAGAAGAGGACAAAGAGGATGTATAGATAGTGAGTGTAGAAGAAGAGCTCGAAGAATTTTCTTCTGATGCGAGGGAATGTGGTCGCCCATAGCAACAGTCCAGCCAGCAGAGATATCTCTCCGGCTAAATTTGATATGCCGTGTTTTGCCCATTTTATCATCTGCGAATAATATTTAATCGTTACATTATATTAAAATACTCACCAATTAAATTAAAAATATTAAAATTGTAAAATTCAATTTATGGTAATAATTATTTTTTTCCAAAATTAATTTGGCAGTGATGATGATTTTATCATTAATAAAATATATATATATATATCATTAAGTCAAACAGAGCATTCATTAATAAAATAATACCCAACGGATCCACAGATGATTTTGTAATTATCAATCAACTAATAATTTAATTTGGAAAAAAAAAAAGAGAATAATTAAATCTAATTACCTGGGAAATCTGATTAGTTAATGCCCAGTAAAGGATGTACAAAAGGCCATGTGCAGTAAAAATAGTCATGACAATATGTCCAAGCCATATATGATATTTTATGCTTCCTTCCGAAGTCAACCCCAACACTCCCAACACCGACGACCCACGCGCCACCGGGAAAAACAAAAACGCTAGGCATATGTATCCCACAACTCCGATCATTAATGCTGACATCTCTAACTTCATTTCCCATCTACAGCATACATTTCATTATTTAATTAGGTAACATATAAATATATAACCATTTGTATAGGTCGAAGTGGATGGATAATCTCACAGGTGTTCGCCGAGTTTTGCAGCGTTTTGTGCGGTGAGGGTGGCAAAGGTGTTTTTCAAATGATTTGATAAACACCAGATGAGGAGTGCCATGAACATGAAAAAGATGCTCAATTCTATCCCTGAAACTATCCCAAGAGGACCTTTCACTAGCATTGGCTTTTTCCATCCCCCCAAACACTGTCTTCTTTTCCCACTCTCCAATCTGTTCATTCATTATTATAAATACATTAGCATTTAATTCTTATTTACAGTATATTTGTATGTATATGGGTGGGTACCTTGCTAATGGGTTTGCATTGCCTTTCTTCCCCAAATGAAGGTAGAGAGAACCCAGAACAGCTATAGCAAGCACGGGGAACATGAAAATCAAAAGTGGTGTACCTGTAATATTTTATTATTATTAACTCCTTGTTTGTTAGACATCAAGAATTGAATTAATCAATGGGTGTAAATATGTATATATATGTACCTACCTTGAGGTCCAAAGTATGTGGACTGATTAACCTTTGCTCCGATCTTTGTAAGCCAAATTTTCCAGTAAGTATTGGTGGGCGACATGATCCATATCATTAGAATCCCTGCAAAAATGACCATGAACAATGCCTTTATCATCGTCCTAATTACACCCGCTTCTTCATCTCCTTTTTCTGGTTTCTTCCCGGCCATTAGTGAACTTCTTATCTCTCTCTCTCTCTCTCTCTCTCTCTGAAACTGAGATCAACGAGAGATATACTGTTTATCTATGCAATGTAGGCGTATAGGGAATGTGATTAGAATCTCGTATATATAGGGAGAATTTTATTAGGAATGATAATATATGTAAATATATTCTAATTATGGATCTAAGTGCACACGTTAAGACATACATCTGCGTATATACATATATATTTACATACACACACAGAGAAGACAGCATGCAGCATCCCTGGTTGCAGATAGAATTCCAATACTGATTTTTTAATCTCTTCTTATAATCATTATTATTGTTTTTAATCTTGGAGTCTAATTATAAGCGATGAGATCATGATATCTCTGATACAAAGTTGACTTTGATAAATTAAAGGTCCCAATGAGCTGACCTCTTTCCTTCCAGTTGCAAGAAGCCAAGTTTCATGCAACTGTACATTTTGTTTCATGATTCATCACCTTTTATGCCCATTTACACACACACACACACACACACACACACATATATCTATATGTTATGAATGTATAGTAAAAATTTTTATTTCAGAAAATTATAAGAATTATTTCCTTTATTAGAGTGGATGAGTTTTTAATTTATTTTGGAAGAAGGTAGGTTGAAGTGTAAGTTTGCTAGAATTTATTTCATAAATATATGTACAAATAAAGTAAATAAATAAATAGCCATAGAAGAGGAGTACAGTAGATCTAAAAACACATATTTTCTATCAATTATGTGGGAGTTGCGACTAATTCTTTCTCTTGTTCTCTATTTTCTCCAATAAAATAAGTCATACTTATAAGAATGGACGTCCCTTTAGTTTATTTTCTATGTAGTATCCATCCGCAATACATATGAGTTTACATTAAATTGTTAATTTATATTTTTATATTATGAAATATCTGCACAACAAATTTAAATAATATAATAAATCTAATTTAACATGTTTTTAGTTAACCAAGTATTTTCAATTAATTGGTAGCCAACAAATTTTTACAAACTCCAACTTGGTCAACATTTAATTGAGTTTTTTTTTTTTTTTTTTAGTTACAAGAAAAAAAATTCAAAACAACACAAAAGTAAAAAGTCTAAACAAGACACATTTTAGGCCAAGAAACCCCAATAAAATCCTCACGAATGATGTGCAGAACCTCTGCAGGAAGATGTAGAAGTCGATAGGAGCCAAGGGGGCTGGAGAATACCTAATTCGCCAAGTAGTCAGCACAACAAATTTCTTCCCGATATATATATAAGTCTTGATAGCTAGAACTACAAAAGAATTTGCATTAATAACAACTATCTATCTGTTGAGAACTTTATTCATAATTTGAACAGTAAGAACATTGTCCATTTCCAAGATAACTTGACGCACAATATTATTTTAAGAAATTATAAGAAAACATAATATAAGCATATCAATGAACATCATTTTACGGACTAAATAATTAAAACGTATTGTTGAAAATTTTTATACACACATCTCGAATCAATTTAGTCTTATAAAGTCATATTAATGATAAATCATATTATAATTAAAAATAGCTCAATCTTAACAAATTATCTTCTTTCTCAATCAATAGCTGAATTTCTCTTTACCAAAATACTACTTGCCTAGTTGTTGAAAAATCACCAATTACTATTTATCAGTCATTAAGAAATTATTGAATTTTATGCGCTAGCATTTGAAAAATTATCATGTCTTAAAGGCAATGTATATCTAATGAGCTCAAATATAATGTGTAACATGCATATCTAGAATTAGTATAACAATCATATTTAAGTGTGACACACTGATTTAAAATTTCAGATTCATGAGATATCAACAATTTAATGTCTAAAAATGAAACTTACGGTAAATTATTATGAAATCCATTGCATATGAAAAAAATATTCAATATATAATAAGCTCAAGACGTATAAATTAACTCTGGTTGATCAAGTATAGTTAAAGACTCAAAATATTTATGTTAACAATATATTTTGAAAAAAGAAGTTAATATTGAAATGAAAAAACAAGTTACTAGCTGAATCTGTATGTAGTTAATTGTCCACAGTTCAAGTTTATGACAGCTTTTCCCCCCTTTTCTCATGGGACCAGAAGTTCATAACATATGAGGGGTTTCTTCCAGAATAGATTTTCATATCTCAGTATGGTTATTTGGCAGATATTCAATGGATGACACTGGTCCTGTTATTTGTATTGCATGGACATCTGATGAGTCTGCTTGTGCTGTTGGGTGGAAGTTTAGAGGATTTACAGTTTGGTCCGTTTCTGGCTGCCGATTGATGTCCACGATTCGTCAAATTGGTTTGAGTTCTGTATCTTCTCCAAGGGTTAAGCCAAACGAGGATTGTAAATATGAACCACCGGATTAGCGGCACTTTAATGATGCAGTGGGATGAATACGGACATAGGCTTTATGCTATTGAGGAAGGATCATCAGAGAGAGTTCTTGCCTTTTCTTTCGGCAAATGTTGCCTAAACAGAGGAGTTTCAGGCACAACTTATGTTCATCAAGTGATCTATGGTGCAGTCACAAGATACTGATGAGCTTAAAATTCTACATTTAAGCCTTCCAGTTACCTATTCAAACAAAAATGTCGACCAGTTGTTGTCCTTGTTTGCTTTTACACTACCATTCCCTGATAGAGGTTTTCTGATCTGGTCTAAGTTTCTTATATTTCCAGAAATTGGCCAGTTCAGCATGTAGCTGCTAGCAAGGACGGAATGTATTTAGCAGTTGCCGGTCTACATGGATTAATTTTATATGATATACGATTGAAAATTCAGTGCAAATGTTTGTTGTGGTTAGGGAAGATTGTTGTCTTCTGCAACTCTATTGATTCGTCTAACATGTGAGACACGTACTTTACTTCATGTCTTAGCTACTTCTTTTAAGTTAGGAATTGATGAAGGTTTTGGATTATTTTATTGCCACCGACATCATCGTAGCTATTGTTTTGTTCATAGATATGGTTATTTATGATGTTCAATGGTCCATTGTTGGTATGAATTACAGACCATATGGAGCCACTTGAAACAAGCCAAGCTTTTCTTGACATGGGAAATGACTAAAAAAATCACCAGCTGAAGCTGATGGACTCAAAAGACAGATTATCTGCCAGCCCAGATGAGCAGATTGTTGCGACCTCGTGCCTCATCTTTTTTGGACCGCAAGCAAGAACTCCAACACTTGATCCTTCACAATCAAATAAGATTCCTGTACCAACAACAAAAAAGGTGATTATTATATCAAACACTATTATATGATCTGCTCTTGCTATATAATAAAAGATGGTAATCAGAGGGCTTAGTTACTCTTTAGATCAGGTCTTTTCCCATAGTGCACACTGATGGCTTCAGCGAGAGATTGGTGAGGAAGGCTTTCTAATTCTCTGTCAGCATTATACCAGGATCCTGGTGAGGTAGTCGGAGTTGGCCCTTCTACGTTTCCTATCTGTTTCGCTTCCATTGCGTTTCGTTTTTTGTTCCATAACACCGCCGCACTAGCGGTTGCTGCTATTGACACGCACATGACCAGTACATACAAAAAAGCCTTTGCAGTATAAGGAAAAACAGTGTTTGTGTTGTGATCAATAGGGTATATGTAATAGCGACCTATGATCCCTATCAAAATGAGGAAAATAACGAACGAAGATGATATGATTAGACCAAGCCAGAGCCAGCTGTTGGGTCCTAAAATTGCAGATATTGGTGCATCGGTTGGGTGTGGCTTGAACCATAAAGTTCGTAAAAGCTTGGAGTTGTCAGAGGTTGGTTGTTTCTCTCTAGTCACATAAGCCTGAACCTCAAGCTGTAAATTGGAAAGCTCATATGGGGTGCCGGTGCCTGGAAGGATGAGATCTAGCATGGTGAGATCTAACGAGTTCTTGAATGAGCAGATCAAGAGAAGTCTTGGTGTTTTCTTTCCCAGTGTTTGGCTTGTGAAGATTAGCTCCCGAATTATAGAGATGAATGGAGTAATGCCACTTCCCCCGCTTACCATCACAAGCATATCATGCCTACCAAAATAATCACTTTTTAACAATAATTCCTTCAAAAAGAAAACACAACACAGTAAATTTGCTATGTGGTAGAAAGTGCTCACATGAGGAAATGAGAAGAGGTAGGTCCATAAGGACCTTCAATAGAAACTTCAAGACGATCAATCGGAGAAGAAGATGAAAGCATCTGATAAAGCTTCGTGGACCAGATTCCTTCACTCTTAATTACCACACTAAGTTTATCCGCCTCCAAATTACTATTCGATGTAACAGTAAACGGATGCCATTGCAGCTTGGAAATTGCAGGAACATTGAGGAAGACGACGCTGGTAGGATTGTAACTCAAACCTGTCGTCAATAATAAACAATTCGAAAATCAATACATATGAATTCAAACAATGTAGTATTATAGGCACTGATTAAGAATAGTTACCAGGAGATTTGGAAAAATTAAGTTCTAGGGTTTGGCAAGGAAGAAGACGAGCAGAAATCAAACGAACTAGGCGTCGGGATTGCAGTAATCTGAGGAAACGGTCGACGATGAAGAGGTAAAAAGCAGGAAGCGAAATGAGAGAGTAACTGATGCCGACATGGAAGATGAAGAAGAGGAAAAAGAGGATGTAGAGATAGTGGGTGTAGAAGAAGAGCTCGAAGAATTTTCTTCTGATGCGAGGGAATGTGGTCGCCCATAGCAACAGTCCAGCCAGCAAAGATATCTCTCCGGCTAAATTTGATATATCGTGTTTTGCCCATTTTATCATCTGCGAATAATATATTTAATCGTTAAATTATATTAAAATAATCATCAATTAAATTAAAAATATTACAATTGTAAATTCAATTTATTTTTTAAAAATTAATTTATAGTAATAATTCATTTTTCTAAAATTAATTTTGCTGGGATGATGATTTTGTCATTAAAGAAAAAATATGATGAGTCAAACAGAACATTCTATTATAAAATAATATTATAATAGATACCTTTTATCAAGATCCCAATACCCAACACGTGTCCAAATTGGAGGGTTCATTTTCCACCAAGATTTCCAATGGGCCCCCACATATCAAATCCAAATCCATAACCTTTTTATTCTTCAGTATTATTTTATTTTTTAATTAACAAACAATTTAATTTAATTTGTTAAAAATGACAGTAATTAAGATTAATTACCTGGGAAATCTGATTAGTGAATGCCCAGTAAAGGATGTAACAAAGGCCATGAGCAGTAAAGAGAGTCATGAGAATATGTCCAAGCCATATGTGATATTTTATGCTTCCTTCCGACGTCAACCCGAACACTCCCAACACCGACGACCCACGCGCCACCGGAAAAAACAAAAACGCTAGACATATGTTTCCCACAACTCCGATCATTAATGCTGCTTTCTCTAACTTAATTTCCCATCTACAACATACATTCTATTAATTAGGTAACATATAAATATATAATTATTTGTACAGACTGAATGGAATGGATAATCTTACAGGTGTTCGCCGATTTGTGCAGCTTTTTTCGGGGTGAGGGTGGCAAAGCTGTTTTTCAAATAAGTTGATAAAGACCAGATGAGGAGTGCCATGAACATGAAAAAGAAGCTCAATTCTATCCCTGAAACTATTCCAAGAGGACCTTTCACTAACATTGGCTTTTTCCATCCCCCCAAACACTGCTTTCTTTTACCATTCTCCAATCTGTTCATTCATTATTATAAATACATTAGCATTTAATTCTTATTTATAGTATATCTGTATGTATATGGGTACCTTGCTAATGGGTTTGCATTGCCTTTCTTCCCCAAATGAAGGTAGAGAGAACCCAGAACGGCTATTGAGAGCATGGGGAACATGAAAATCAAAAGTGTTGTACCTGTAATATTTTATTATTATTAACTCCTCGTTTGTGAGACATCGATCATTGAATTAATTAACATGTATATGTGTGTATATGTACCTTGAGTTCCAAAGTATGTGGACTGATTAACCTTTGCTCGGATCTTTGGAAGCCAAATTTTCCTGTAAGTATTGGTGGGCGACATGATCCATATCATCAGAATCCCTGCAAAAATGACCATGAACAATGCCTTTATCATCGTCCTAATTACACTCACTTGATCATCTCCTTTTTCTGGTTTCTTTCCCTCCATTAATGAGCGTCTTCTTCTTCTCTCTCTCTCTCTTCTCTCTTTCTCTCTCCCTCTCCCTCTCCCTCTCTCCCTCTACCTCTCTCTTTCTCTCTCTGTCTGAAAGTAAGATCAGCGAAAGATATACTGTTTATCTATACAATGTAGATTTATAAAATTAGTGTATTGAGAGGCGGATAATACAAGGGAAATGAGATGAGAATCCCATCTATATAGGGAGAATTTATTAAGAAGAATATATATATATATAAATATATACTAATTACGTATGGAGTGCATAAGTTGAGAGATACATCCCCGCATATGTATATATTTATATACACACACAGAAGACAGCATGCAGCATCCCTGGTTGCAGATAGAATTCCAATATTGCTTTTTAGTCTTTTCTTATTATCATTATTATTGTTTTTATTCTAGGAGTCTAATTATAAGTGATGAGATCGTGATATCTCTGATACAAAGTTGACTTTGATAAATTAAAGGTCCATAATGAGCTTACCTCTTTCCTTCCAGTTGCAAGAAGCCAAGTTTCATGCAACTATAAATCTTATTTGATGATTCATCACCTTTTATGCCCATTTACACAAACACACACACATATATATATATATATATATCTAACGAATGTATACGTCAAAATGTTTTATTTCAGAAATTTTTTTTTGAAGATGGGGTTTATTAAGGCTTAATTCCTAAATAAAAAAAAAATTGAAATCCTGAAAGCTATCTATCCTTAATGACATTGATCAAGATTATGGAATAAATCGGAGATGAATCCAAAGATCTTAACACTCAATTAATTTACTTATTATATAATAATACAATAGATTTCAAAATTAATGACTTGTCAAAATTGTAATTAAGGTGGAGGAATATACACGAATGTGACGGGATGAGGATGAATGTAATGAGTACATTTAGGAAAGTAGTGGAGGTGCAACTGAATTCTGGCAGCATGTGGTAAATATGCGGCGGAGTATGAATGGCACGTGTCAACTTGTATCTTTACTCCGGTGACACGTGCGGCGTAGCGCCTTTCGTGTGCTGGACATGTCCATATTGCTGATGCAGCTGAAGGCTAATATTAATGAAGACCATTCAGATATGAGATGAATTTTTAAAAAACATATCAACGAAAATTATTATACACATATTTCGAATTAATCCTGTCCAATAAAGTCAATATTTTCTAATAATATGGGACTAACTCTGACTGTAATTCTTAACAAATACCTTGACGTAAATCACAATAGTTCAAATGTGATGTTACCAAATTATTATTATTATTATTATTGTGTTTCAGTCAATAATAATTTCTCATAGTTGTTGAAAAATCACCATATCAACAAAAATTATAGTAAGAAATAGTTCAAAAATGATATTAATAAATTAATTTCTTTCTCGGTCAATAATAATTTTTCATTACCAAAATTCAACACACTAGTTATTGAAAAATCACCAAATACCATGTACGAATCATTAAGCAAATGTCATGTTCGATGTACTAGCCTTTAAAAATTTATCATGCCTTAGAGACAATATATATTTAATGAGACCACAAATAATGCCAAAATTAGTATAACAGTCGTGCTTTAAATTTGATACCGTGACTTAAGATTGCATAATAATCGTAACTTATCAACAATTTAATATTTAAAAATGAAATTCACAGTGATTCCTCCTTTTCTTTTCTGCATATACACTACAAATAGTATAGTGCATTTAGGGTTAAAAGGTTATGACGAGCCCGATCCACTAAATGCCAAAAAAAAAAAAAAAAGGGATTATTACTTTATTTACCATTGGAGAATTCTCATTATACTGTTTGATTGAATAAGGTGGTGACATCTTTGCCAAAATTAATTCATACGGGAAGTCCAATAATCTTATTAGATCAATCAAGTTGGGCCTTCCACGACAAAGTTTTTAAGGGATATTCCAATATTAATATATATATATATATATTATGGTATAATTTTTTATTATTGGTTGGGAGAATTTTATTGAATGTAATAAGGCTTCAACTCATAGTAGTTAGCTTGGATTTTGGATACATTTTCATTCTCATATCTTAAAAAAATCTCCATACATCCCTTAAAACCGAACCCACATTATTGAAAATATCTCGAAAGTAGAGATCGATGAATTTTATACTATTCCATAGTCCAATAATCAATAAAAAATTTACAGTTAAGTAGTAATAAAGAAAAGAATTCTCTGAGCATTCAGCTAAAATTCCTTTTTAACTTGAAACAGTGCGTGCAACTAGGAAGGCTCAAGCAGAGCTTAAGTTACCAATAGACAAAAGCATTTGACATCAACATAAAAAAAAAAAAAAGAAAAGGTAAATATACAATTCACATGTAGCATAATACAGTCTTCTATTCTATAACTGTTTTCATAGGAAAAACATAACTTCCAATTTTTAAGAGGACAACTCTTCCTAACAACATAAGGCTAGTTACAGATCCCCAAATTCAGACTCTTTACTCCACATATTAACAGCAATTCTTACATCCCAAGCAAAGTTATACATATATATTACACATATTAAGACTAATATGAGAACAAGTGGTAAATATTGATTACGGATTGAAAGGTAAATGAATCCATTGCAACTTGAGTAAAATCTTAAAAAGCATCATAATTTTCCAGCTTGATTCCAATGCTTCAGATCAACCTGACTTACATCCACAGGCAACTTCGACCATTCCACAGAGTGCTTCCCTGCAACCATTTTTCGATGTAATACCATGGAAATGCCCAGAAACAAACACACAACCGCAAGAAAAGGGATCAAAACACCGACATTCTCTCTGGGCCAACCCTTCAAGATCAATTCTGCAGAGAGATCTCCATCAAAACTACCCATTGAATTACTCATCTTCATGACCTCTACACCATTTAAGATACCATCAACTGTGTACTCCATACTCTTAGATGAAGCTCCAATGCTTACACTCAGGACACCAAGATTACCAACACCATCAACCACAAAATCAGCATAAAATGGAGCGGACAAGGCATTATTTGCAACATCTGTCATATCCAAATCTTTATATGCCAAATGCCCATTAACATAAACATTGAAATACAGAAAACCCAGTGATACACTGGCGATATCACAGAAATGTGTCCGAACAAGGTACCTATAACCATCAACCACAGGAAATTCTAAGGTAATATTCACATTAGGAATTGAAGCATTCTTGCTGGTTAAAACACGGGCAGTGTTATACACGTTATCTGGCGCAATTTCACGGCTTGCTCCTCCACTTTGGTACCTAATTCTGCCGCTAGAATACACCTCATCGGTTCCCTCGCCGGATTTCAAGAACTCAGAATCAGGAAACCAAGTCCTCCATAGAGAATCGTTAAATGGGGTGACTTTGGGTCCACCCACATTGACCCTAAAGACAGCTTCCAGTGCTTTCTTATTTAACCCATTGAGATTCTCAATTTTATCACCATTGACAAATTTAGCACTATCAGAGATCAAATCTTTAGGCGCAGATATCACTTCAATTGCATTGACAAACGCAAATTTCTTCCTGTTACTAGGCAAAAATGTAACAACAAGCTTTTCACTATCTACCCAGATCAGAAACTCCTTAACCCTAGGGCAAAAAGTTTCAGCGCAGCTAAAATTGCTTAAAACGACATATCCATTGACCAAAACGTGGAATAGCGCATCATCAAAATCGAGCTTCGATGAATTGAAACGATGAAAATGGAGACGTACCGCGTGGGTTCCTTGTTCGACGACATTGAAGACGTACTTTGACGGTCTCTTGAAAATCTTGGCTGTATGGTAGATTTTGGGCGTATCCAGGAGAGGGTTTTCCGCCATGAGTGAGATCGAGCGAGTCGAACAGAAGAGAGATGGTTTGGAGGTGGAGGCGTCGGCGACAAATCGACGATTGTCTATGATGGAGTCGACGGGGGAGCCGCAGTCGATGAGGTAATTGTCCGCGGGCGAAAAGGATCTAGAGAGGATATAGAAAGTTGAAAGATATGAAATGAAGAGACAGAAACTCTGCTTTGAAAGTAAAGTCGCCATGGGGAAAGGAACAAAATAATGGGGAAACTTGAAGGGAAGTCTCTTGAAGAAGAACGAGGAGAAGGGAGGCAGTGAGTTTTGTCGAAAGCGTAACCGAGTCCTAAGAAACTCGAACCCAGTCAACGCGCTCTGAGACTCGGTACCCCACACTGCAGTAATGGCTGTACCAGGCTGCCTTCGACGCGTATGAGTAGGGCCCACCGGCAGTCGACCAAAATCAAAACGAACCGTTTTGGCCTTTTCCTTCATCTTCCTCATTCTAAACTTTTTGCACATCGTTTTTAAGAATATAAATTATAAAATATATAAAATGTTCTAATTATAATCAAGTGAGTTGATTTTTGCAATTTACTATTAATTTTCAGAATATTTTTATTACTACAATAAAAAAATAAAGAAAATTTAAAATTAAAAAAATGAACAGACCAAATTAATTTTAAAGCTAGTTTCTCGTCATTACAATTCAATGGTTTCATCTTCTTGGCACGTGCCAACATCAACCACCATTGTCCCTTTCTTCGTCGCAGGCAACACTCTGCAACAGTTTCTTCTCGGAGGCTACTCCATTGCACACAACAAGAAGAAGAAGAAGAAGAAGAAATTTAAATCAAAATCTACTAAATTAATTAGCAAAAAAAAAAGTATCAAATCAGGAAAAAGAATAAGAAATGAATTACCTTGTCCCACAAAAATGGATCGGGTTTCTTAGAAACCTCAACCCGATGAATCAAATAGGGATTTTCCATTTCCCAGCTGCAACTTGGACTCGATCTTTGAAACCTAACATACTCGGTACCTGTTTTATTGATCTCGGAACTGAAAAAAGCATTGGACAAAAAATACACAGAGGGTGTTTGGCAGCGATTTTTGGAGAAAGGGCGCGAATTGAAAGTGGAACCGGAGCCGTCGGACCTCATGTACCAGTCGAGAAAAGTTCGGGCGGGCATTTCAATTTCTCGGGCGGGTATTAAGCCCCGAAAGATTTGAACAGTGTAGCCCCAAGATAGAGAGACAGTCCAGTTTCGAGATTTATCGTAGCATATTGATTGTTGCATTAGCGCAGCCGAGTCTAGCTGAGTTGGAAGTTTCAGTCTCATTAATCCGTCGACTCGACCCACATCGGGAAATATGGGATCCACTAAGTCTAAGTGGTGCAGAGATATCAGAGGTGCGATCGGGTGTGCCGCTAGTAGTCCGTACACATTTCCATACACATCAAACTAATTATAAATTCATAGAAAAAAAAAAAAAACAATAATGAAGAACGTTAGAAGTACCCCCCAAATCGGTCATCTTTTCTTCGTAAGTGTAGAGCGTGTGATTGAGTGTAGGATTATCTAAAGAAGTTGCATTAGGAAGTAATATATATATAAGTAACATAAAAAATTGTTACATAATATTTTTTAAATAAATAATAATTATATATAATATAAAAATTTCAGTTTAGACTGAAAATAAAAATAATAAAATGTAAAATATTATTCTTAATAGTATTTGCCTCAATTTAATTCTAGACCATTGCTTACGACCATTCCAGAGAAGAGTGTTATGATAATGCGGTTTAAAATTATCAATTATTTATTTATTTATTTTTATAGAATTTATTCTTATTATTTATTAGATATTATTAACTGAAAATTTCTTTTTTTTTATAAAAAAAAAAAAAAAAAGTTTAATCGACAATCAAAATTAGGCAGATAGAACTCACACTTAACGCCTAAAAAACCAGTTACTACTGAATCAAAAAACGAGAGAAAGAAAAATAATCATGTATGCATAAAATATAAATTGAAGGAAAAACCGAATATTAATGCTTAATTCAACTTTTTTAAATAATTAATGCTTAATTAAGTTAATTGCTGAGAAACGTATGGACAAGAAATTTTTTTTTCTTGAGTTTATAAATTTAATTGAATTATTTTAATTAGTTCCTAAAGAATCATAAAATAAAAAATTTAAAACATATAATTTTTCATGTTTAAAACCTTGTAATCTTTAAAACTTACTACTTCAAATCCAGAAAACAAAAACTTATTCTACTCAATGAAAGTTCTTGAAGTTATTTCTTTTTCCTCCGTTTTCTCACCAGCCAAACAATTAGTCTACGAAAATATTATACTAAAAGAAACGATTAAATACCTGGTGAAATCCCGGCTGCTTGGTCAGAGGAACACCGAGCTCCGTCATGCATGCATGAATCCGATCATCCGACCCATACAACTTCGGGTACCTCTGCATGCACCTGTCCTGCATCTTCTCCAGAGCTTTCGCTAAAGGATAACTTATAGCAAAACCGCCGCCGCCATAAGCCATTCCATACGAGAAATTTATATTCTGTAAGTGACTTTCCGACGAGCTTCCGATGTAATAAAACTGGTTATGATCGTACTTCGACAAAACACTGATAAGATTATCGGGGACAAAAACTGTATCATCATCACCCATCACAAACCATCTAACACCCTCCATGTTCCCCAATCTTAATGTCTCCGACACAATCCGAGATATCCTTAACGCCGACCGATGGCCGTCGCTGTTCCTGTATTCGAACCTCGACGTGTCGCCGGAGATCTTTCTCGGCGGCAGAAGACAATCATCGCTGGCGTCAGTTTCAACTGGCTTGTCAAGCCAAACGAAGCCCCGCATCTCGTGGGGTCTCCACCAGAGTTTGATGTAGTTTTTTCTCCGGTCCCATAACTTAGCAGAGGCGCCAATGCCGAACACGACGTGCTTGAGGGTTGTTTTTTCTAGGTTTTGAGCAACTGACGGTGAGTTCCCGGAAGCGGAGTGGTGGCTGACGACACGGAAGGGATTGTTATTCTGGGTTGGTAAATTGAGAGAAGAAGACAAGAAGCTTAGTGAGTAAAATATGTAAGGAAGAGAGAGAAAGAGGATGAGAATGAACATCAACTTGCAGATATGGGAAGATGAAGGAGATGGAGTTTTCATGTTGCAGTCGCAGAAGATGTATCCCTGATCTTTCATGGCGACTGGTAATTGATAGTGTTGAGACTCGACTGCCGAAGAAGAGATGAGGAGAGGACAAGAGTAGATATTTATTAGGAGAATAATATTGTATGAACAGAATTTTATGAGAAATCAAACTCATCAATTTCTCTTCTGGTAGTAGAGTGTATTGGAAAGGACTCTTTGTGTTCTACAAAACCAGGTGATTAATTCATTGTACTGTTTCATTATTTTTATATGGGAAACGATATAATTAATTAATTAATATAATTTTACTTGATTATGCGAGTTTGTTTAATTCTTGTAAATAATTATTTAGAAACAAAATTAATTTGAATTAATTTGAAGGAAATAATATATTGATTATGCTGCTTCTGTACTTAATTAAATACA